TTTCCATTCCACAAGTCTTACCCACTTCGCTTCATCTCCACCGTGAAACTCCCTATCTCACTTTTCCCCATGTTTCCTATTTCAATTCCCCATTCTTTACTAACCTTTTCTGTACTCTGCTTTGTCCTTGAGCAAAGGTTGCCTTTTGATCTCAAATGGTTCCTACATCTAAGGAATGTCCAGCCTTCAGGCCTATGTTGTTGTTAAGTGCCCTCCAGTAAGCTCTGACTCAGAGAGTGGAAGACAAACGTAGGACAAAACTCAAAATAATACAAAAGGCCAGGCTTACTGGTCAGAGGGAGTGATGGTGGTTGTGTGCCATGGAGTCAGTTCTGACTCCTAGTGACCCTGCATAGGGTTTCCAAGGCTGTAAATCTTTATGGGAACAGAAAGCCTCATCATTCTGCAATGGAACTGCTGGTAGTTTCAAACTGCTGACCTTGAGGTTAACAGTCTGACTCGTAACCACTAAGCTACCAGAGTTCCTTAGGACTCTGCATTGTTGTTATGTGCCGTGGAGTTTGTTCTGACTCATAGCGACCCTGTATAGGGTTTCCGAGGCTGGAAATCTTTACGAGAGCAGAGTCTCATCTTTGTCCTGCGGAACAGCTGGTAGTTTCGAACTGCTGAGCCTGAGGATAGCAGCCCGATTCGTAACCATTACGCTACCAGAGCTCCTTGTGTAAGGCCCTAGAAATCATTGGGTCTGACCCAGCCAAGACAACCTCAGTCCCAGCCATTACATTGTTGTTAAGTGCCATCGATTTGATCAAATATAGCAGGCTAATTTTTAAGTTGATAATGATGGCCCGCGAATGATGTGATAAAGTTAGGCAGAAAAAAGGTTCCCCACCCCTGCTACACAGGTTGCTATGAGTTGGAATCGGTACTTAACGACTTCTAGCTGTTACCTGTCCTTCTGTCAGTTTGTCATACTATGGAGGTTTGTATATGACTATGATGCTGGGAAGGAGCTCTGGTAGCGTAGTGGTTACGAATTGGGCTGTGAACCGCAAGGTCAGCTGTTCAAAACTACCAGCTGCTCCACGGGAGAAAGATGAGGCTTTCTGCTCCCGTAAAGATTTACAGCCTCAGAAACCTTGTACAGGGTCGCCATGGGTCAGAACCAACTTGATGGCACTTAACAACAACAACAATGATGCTGGGACAGCCTTGGAAACCCTATACAGGGTTGCTAGGAGTCCACAGTAACTTCACACCAGGAACAAACACCACGATGTCACCTAGATTCCAAATACCAGTGAGGCCGTCTGTGGTGTCAGGTTTTAGCAGAATTTCTAGCCTAAGACTAGGAAGAAAGACCTGGAGATCGACAGCTGGAAAGCAGTGAATTAAAATCTTGTGGCTCACAGAACGTCGTTCAACATAGTGCTGGACAATGAGAAGACGGTGCAAGAACGGGTTATGTTTTGTTTGGAGCCATGAGTCAGAGCTGACCCAATGGCACCTAACAATGATGGAGGCGCTAACTGCAAGATCGAATTTTAGCTGTTTTAATTCTTCGTTAGTTCATTTGGTCAGAAATATGAATGGAACATTCTCCTGTGCCTTCCAGATGCAGAGTGGTAAGAAAGCAGTGGTCCCCTGCTGAACTCGTAGGCTGATGGGCAGGACAGATGAGCCTGTTGCCATGGTGACAGTCATGAGGACTGGCTTTCTTTGTGGAACCTTTCAAAGTACATGTCATCACAACAAGAGAACTTTCTGCACACAGTGGCATCCCAGCGGAGACCAGAGGCTGAGTCAGAATGGAGGTGCCGGGAAGGACATTCCAGGCAGAGAGAGCTGGACACACGCAGGCACCCTGAGCAGCTCAGGTCTAGGGGTGGATACACAAACTCACAATAACCCAGGCAGAGTGGGCCTTCTACGGCTCCCCTGGGATCCCTCACCAGGCTGTGTCTGTGTTGATTCAGCCTTATTTATCAAGAAATCAGTAAAAACTTGGTCTCTGAGGAAGAGGAAAGCCCATTCATTATAGGAAAGTGAGCTGGGAGCTACTGGACCCACTTGAGTGGGATCGGGAGTCATGGAAGATGGGGTGTCTGTGAGGAGATGTTAACCCTAAAGACAGTTTAGGCAGTCTGGTAGTTCCCCAATACCTGGCATGGGCAGCCCACCAAGGGAGAACTGGGGACCGAAATCTGGAAATTGAACCTAAAGGCAGAGGAAATGGGTATTTGACTGTATGGGGTCTCCCCCCACCTCGGCTATTTATTAAGGATTTAGGGAGCTCACTGCTGGTGATCTGCTCTCATAAAGCTGGCAATCTAGGGACCATGGAGTTACTGACTGCAAGGTCGGCGGTTCAAACCAACCAGCCGCTCCTCGGAAACCCTGTATAGGATTCTCTGAGTCAGAACCGACTCGACGGCACTTACCAACAAATGGAGTTACTATGAGTCAAAAATCGACCCAACAGCACGACACTGAGAACTTGAACTCTCAAGAGATAACCCTCGTCTGTGGCTTACGTTTTGTTCCCTTGTATCTTTCAAAAGGCAAAGATTTTCCATGGAAATCAAGCCCGAGCGACCTCAGTTTTCTTTAGCAGTGTTATGGGTTGAACTGCATCCCTTCCACAAGACACATGGAAGTTCTCACTGCTGTACCGACGAATGTGACCTCGTTTGTGGAGATGGTGTCTTACTTAAGACATTAAGTCCCAGCCAGCCCTAATCCTCTCTGAATGGTGTCTTCTGGAAGTGGGGGACACAGACACGGGGAGAGGGTCACACACAGGTAAGTTCTGTCTACAAACCAAGCCAAGGACACCAGAAACTGATAAGAGAAAGAAAGACTCTTGCTCTGGAAGCTGAGAAGGACATAACCCTGTGAACACCCAGATCTGGGTTTCCGACATTGTGAGACAGTCAATTTCTGCTCCTTAAAGCCACCCATTTTTATGGGATTTTATTCTGGCAGCTGGAGGAAACGACGCAGGTTTCACGCTGTGCATATCCTGTTTGAGAAATCTCTGCCTCACCCAAATGCCACATGGATACTCTCCTATGCTTGCTTGCCTCTGGAAGGGGTCCTGGTGGTGCAGTGGGTTAAGTGCTCGGCTGCGAACCTCGGGTGAAAGATGCAGCCGTCTGCTTGCATCAAGACTCCAATCTGGTAAGCCCTGTGGGGTCTGCTGTGAGTCAGGATGAGCAGCCTTACGGGTTTTTCTTGGGATTAAGCAGAATTTAAGCTACTAGGAAAATGTAAGCATGGCGTCAAGTGGCCTGGTCCAAGGTTAACGGTTCAAAGTCAAGAAGGAAATGGACTCCAAGACACCTGACGCAGTCTAGGAGACTGGCACGCTTGCTCAGTCTCTTCAGTTTCCCCCTGACCAGGTGTTTACTGAAATCTTAAGAGAAAGGATATGCCACTTTGAAGACACAGTGCCTGATTCAAGACATGGTCTTTTCAGTCCTCATTGTATGCCATGTAAAAAGCGGGACAATGGGTAAGGAGGGCCACAGAAGAATCGATACATTTGAATTGTGGTGTTGGTGAAAGCTATAGGAAAACACCATGCCATGGACTGACTGCCAGAAAAACAAACAAATCTGTCCCGGATGTACAGCCAGATGCTCCTTAGTAGCTTGGATGGTGAGACTTTGTCTCTTATACTTCGGATGTGTGATCAGGAGGGGCCAGACCATGGGGAAGGACATCATGCTGGGTAAAGTGGAGGGTCAACGAAAAAGACAAAGACCCCCAGAGAGATGGATCAGCACAGTGGCAGCAGCAATGGACTCCAGTGTAGTAATGACTGAGCAGGGTGAAGGACCAGGCAGCAGGGTTTCCTTTTGTTGTGTGTGGCCTCGCTGCGGGTCGGTACTGACTCAAGGGTGCCTCCCACCACCACCAGGTGTTCAGAAATTCAGAGTCAGCTGGGGACCATCAGGGATTTGACCCATCCTCTTGGACTCAAAAAGCAAGAGACAGCACTCGTTGAAGCGAAATCTCTCTTTATTAGGAAAGCATCCACACCACGTTCTTGGAAATTACTGGGATTTTATTTGCCTCAGGCTTATGACTTGCAACCAAAGACATTGTGCAAAGAAAGCAAAGATTAAGTACACTTTGGGGAGAAGGAGACGAAACACGCTGGTAACATAGGTGATCAATCAGGTGGATCGAAGAAGCTACCCAATACACTGTATAAATCTCAAGAGTCAATAGTGTTTTCGACAAAAACATTGTAAAAATCAAGAGCGCAAAAGAGAGAGAGAAAAAAAAAGGTAAGCATTGTTTACAGTAGACATAAATCGTATACAATTCCAAATGCATTTCCTTTTCAGCTCCTAGATAAAAAAATGGGAAAGAAACGTATATGCAGCTGAAATCTACCTATTGTACACTGACCAACTATTCAAGCGGCTTACATGTACCACAGTGTCAATAACAACAGACAAAGAAAATAAAAACACGACTACCAAACAAATTTAAAAAAACTTTGAGCATCACCTGATGCAAAATAAAATAACCAGTGGCTATTTGTGGCGTCTTCTGGTTATCAGCGCTACAAAATGACAGACTCTTCCCATCTTGGCACCCGATGGAACGAGGCACAGTTCAAACCCTAATAATCAGACCCAACCCATAGAAATATACGACCCACCCACATATTTCCCATCCAAAAACGTCTTTGTTTTGCTTGTCTGTCTGCTTGTTTTAATCTTTGAATCTTTGAGGCCCGTTTGGTCACAATATGTTACAAATATTTCTGTGTGTGTCTCTGTGTGTGTGTGTGTGTGTGTGTGTGTGTGTCTGTGTGCGCGCGTGCGTGCGTGCTCGTGTGGTTTTTTTTTTTTTTACAACATGATATCATACGTTTGTCTGGTACTACCCTATAGCTAGTTGTATAGATGATGATAATATAGAAACAGCCCAGTGACTGTGACAAAATGAACTCACTGGGTCGAAATGAAGAGAGGGAAGAGGGGGGAGCTCGGCTCTACCGAGGAAGAAAAGGTCCCCCGGGATTACTCGTCATCGGTCGCGCTTGCTTCTGACTGTTCCTAGAATAAAAAGAAGATGGAAAGAGAGAAAATCACATTCAAGGAAAAACAGATGCGGTACGCCGTCAAGAGGCCAAAGAGAAAAAAGAAGAAATGGCATTTTGGAAACATAACCTTCTAGGCTTCTTCATTCCACGGGGAGGTAAGAAGAGCCCAAAGAGGCATGTGACTACCCCAACACTGAAAGGAGTGTTCTGGATTTGGGAATCCCAAGTGATGCCCACACCTTCCATTAGTGTTTGCTCTTTCATTTTGGCATGAAAGGGTTAGAGATGATTGTTAGGGGTCGAGATGTGTTCTTGCTTGCTGTCTAGACGATTTCTACTCGTAAGACCCCACATGACACATTCTAGGGTGTCATCTATATCGCAGCAGATCTCCAGACCTTTTCACCTGAGGAGTCGCTGGGTGAGTCTGAACTCTCACTGCCTGTCAGCAAGCAGCAGCGGCCTGAAAGTTCACCAAAGGGGTCCTGGATTGAACTGTGTCCCCCCAAAACGTGTTGAATTCCTAACCCCATACCTGTAGATGGAATGGAATGAAACAGAAGAGCCTTCCATAATGCAATTGCACGTCGTGTTTAGGAGGCCATACGCATGCAGGGTGGGTCCTAAACCTAACTACCTCAAAATAATACAGAGCAGCAAAGATACAAACAAGTACAAACAGGGGAAGAGCTACCATGCGTCGACCACTGAGGTTGAGAGATCATCAAGACGACTGAAGCTGAAAGAGGCAGGGGCCTTCCCCCAGAGCCAACACAGAAAGCAAGCCTGCTCCGAGAGCTAGGGCTCTGAATCTGGTTTCTGGCCTTCTGAGCCAGGAGAGAACCCAGTTCTGTTACATGTTGACACCAAGTGCTACAACAGCAGTAAGTAAGTAGTAGCGAGGACAGGAATACTTTCTGCTTTAGTATCAGCTTTGAGAAAAATCACGGGAGACAAGCTCAGAACACTTCCGATGTCTACTCAAGGAAACCTGGCTCTCAAATACACAGGACCCGCTCATGTCAAGGGCTCGGGCTGGAGTGAGGCGATGGTTCCCAACGTTTCCCAGCAGGACAAAGTGGCAAAGGCAGAAACAAAGTAGAAACAAACTAAAAGGCAGTTGGGTGGCAGGGAAACCGAGTTCCTCTGGAAAGTGAACTTCTGGAAGGGCATTCCAGAAGGTGCCCGCGGTATCAGAAATTTCTGCTGGCACTTCTGTCTTGTCACAGGTAATGAAGGTGCAGAATCATGCTGTTTGGGATTACATCTAGCCTCTACCTTTATTTGGTATGTAGTCTGGAACTAAACACACCTAACCTCGACATTGACTTCCCATCTGTCACATGTCTATTTCCTGAGAAGGTTACCCAATTCTAGGACCTGCCTCAATGAATGTTCTGTGATTCTACATAGATTCTTGACCAAAGGTGTGTGTGTGTGGGGGGGGTGGCGGCTAAAAAAGAACTTCAAATTCTCAATGGAATCCAGATTTTTTTGTAGCCACAGAGCTCCCCGCAGCCCCATACAACTGCCCTGAGGAAATTTTAATCTCTCTCTCTCTCTCTCTCTCTCTCTCTCTCTATCTATATATATATATATATATATTAAGCCGAAACTATCTCAAGTCGTCTTTGAACCAAACACAATATTCTCTTATTTATTTTGGCACTGTGCTCTTTTACAGAATTATCATCCATGTGAGGTTAAATTTATAATGGCAACAGCAAAGTTTGCATTGGAAGCTTGGGCAGCTGTGAGTTAAAGATGAAGGTGGTGGAGTCAGGTGGAAAAGGACAGCCAGAATTGTAGCACACTCAGAGAACGTGACCGGCGTCGCTGCACTGTACATGCAGAAATCGGCTGACGTGGCATCTCTCTGGCTGTGTAGACTTTCATGTTGCTGTTGTTGTGAAGTGCCATCGAGTCGGTTCCGACCCATAGCGACCCTGTACAGGGTTTCCGAGGCTGTAAATCTTTACGGGAGCAGAAAGCCTCATCTTTCTCCCATGGAGCAGCTGGTAGTTTCGAACTGCTGACCTTGCAGTTCATAGCCCGATTCGTAACCACTACGCTACCAGAGCTCGGGAGTAATACGATTCATTTGGAGTCTTTGTATAGCACCTTAAATAGCAGCTCAGGCCAGGATACCCGAAATCTTTTCCTGGTTCTTTCATCTCCTTGTTATATGCTGTTGCTGGTGGTGTTAGGTCCCGCTCAATCACTTCCAGCTCAACGTGAGACCAGGTACAACAGAAGGACCCTCTGCCAGGTCTTGTGACAACCTCAAAACTGCTGTTACCTTTGAGTCTAGTACAGCTGCTGGTGTGCCAATCCATCTTGTTGGGGATCTTCCTGTTTTGTGCTGACCGTCCACTTTACCAAGCAGGATGTGTTTCTCTGGGAATGATCTCTCCGGATCCCATGTCAATAGAACAAATACGAGAGAAGTCTGGCCACCTGGCTTCCAAGGAGGACTCAGGCTGTATTTCTTCTAACACAAATTGGTTTGTTCTTCTGGCAGTCCATGGTACTTTTAATATTCTTCTCCAACACCATAATTCAAATGCATCAGTTCTTCCACAGACCTCCTTATTCACCATTCAACTTTCACATGCATATGAGGCGACTGAAAATACCATGGCTTGTATCAGGTGCACCTTAGGCCTCAAACTGACATCTTTGCCTAATGCAATATGTCTTTTGATTTCTTGACTGCTGCTTCCATGAGTATTAATTGTGGAGCCAAGCAAAGTGAAGTTTTTGACAACTTCAATGTTTTCAACACTTATCATGATGTTAAGGAGCTCTGGTAGCGTAGTGGTTACGAATTGGGCCGAGAATGACAAGGTCAGCAGTTCGAAACTACCAGCAGTTCCGTGGGAGAAAGATGAGGCTATCTGCTCCCATAAAGATTTACTGCCTTGGAAACCCTGTTCACGGTCACTATGGGTTGGAACCAACTTGACGGCACTTAACAACAACATCATGATGTTATTTATTGGCCCAGTGGTGAGGATTTTTTGTTTTCTTTACATTGAGGTGCAGCCCATACTGAAGGCTGTGGTCTTTGATCTTCATCAGTAAGTATTTTAAACCCTCTTCGCTTCCATCAAACAAGGTTGTATCATCTGCATATCTCAGGTTGTGGATGAGTCTTCCTCTAATCCTGAGGCCGAGTTCTTCTGCATATAATTCAGCTTCTCAGATTATTTTCTCAGCATACAGATTGAATGAGGACGGTGAAAGAATACAACCCTGGCACTTACCTTTCCTGATTTCAAACCATTCAGCGTTCCCTTGTTCTGTTCTAACAATTGTCTCTTGGTCCATGTACAGGTAGGTTCCTCATGAGCACAGTTAAGAGTTCTGGAATACTCATTTTCCTCAATGTTGTCCATAGCTTGTCATGGTCCACACAGTCAAAAAGCCTTTGCATATTCAATAAAGCATAGATAAACACGTTTCCAATATTCTCTGCTTTCAGCCAAGATCCATCTGACGTCAGCTATGAAATCTTTAGTTAGTTCTATGTCCTCATCTGAATCTGGCTTGGATTTCTGGCGGTTCTCTGTGGATGTACTGTTACAGCCATTTAAAAATTATCATCAGCAAAATTTTACTTATATGTGATATTAATGATATTGTTTGATGATTTTCACATTCCACTGAGTCACCTCTCTTTGGAATGGGCACAAATATAGATCTCTTCCAGTTGGTTGGTCAGGTAGCTGTCTTCCAAATTTCTCGGTAGAGATGAGTAAGTGTCTCCAGTTATTGAAGTAACTGAATTCGTAGTCTGTTAATTCTAGGAGCGCTGGTTTTCACCAAGGCCTTCAATGCTGCCTAGACTTCTTCCCTCAGGATCCCTGGCTTCTGATCACATGGTTACCTCCTGAAGTGGAGGAACATCAATCATCTCGTTTTGATACAGGGACTCTTGTGTATTCCTTCCATCTTCATTTGATACTTTGTGCATCATTCATTATTTTGCCCATTGTTATGTGGTTAAGTGCCGCCGAGTCGGTAGTGACCCTGTATAGGATTTCCAAGGAGTAGCTGGGTGAGCTTCAACTGCCGACATTGCGGTTCAAAACCAATCTTGCAGTCCAGCGCATTAACCCGCAGCGCCACACCAGGAATCCTTCAAATTGCGAGTCGAGGCATGAATTTTTTTCCTCAGTTCTTTCAGTTTGATTTTTCAGAACATGCTGAACATGTTCTTCCGTTTTGGTTTTCTAACTCTGTATCTTTGCACATTTCATTAAAATATTTGACTTTGTCTCTCCTCTTTTTTAAAAAATTAATTTACTTTTTATTGTGAACTGAGTGAAAGTTTACAGACAAGATCATCAGTTTTACATTCGACCAATCATACACTTTGTTTCACCTCAATGATTACAACCTTTGCGTGCTGAAACAGTTATCCCGGCTTCCTGCATTCCACCCACCTTCCCATCTCTTCATAACTTTGTCCTTAGGAAAATGTCCTTACTACTGTTGCTGTCCCCTACTATCTCCTACTGTCTATTGCCTGGGTCAAAACTGGGCCACCAGAGTAAGTTCCTTTCCAGACCTGCAGGGTGGTTGAGATTCTTTCAATGTGTTTCTGACCAGTAAACCCTCTCTTCTTTTTTTTAATTAAATCATTTATCTTTCTTCCACATTTTCTCCCTGTCTAACGTAATCTGGTTCTGAGCAGTTGGTAGTGGTGGCCGGGCACCATCTAGCTCTTCTGGTCTCAGGGTCATGGAGACTCCTGGTCACATGGTCCATGAGTTCCCTGGATTAACGGGTTCCAAGTCTCTTCAATTCTTATCTGACTTTGTCTTCCTGAACTGCCCTTTAAACTGTTCTGTTCAGCTCTTTTACTTCCTCATTTCTTCCATTGGTTTTAGCGTCTCTATGTTCAAGAACAAGTTTCAGAGTCTCTTCTGACATCCATTTTGGCCTTTTTCTTTCTTCTTATATGATATTCCTGATACCACCCCACATTTTTTTTTTTGGTCTTTGGTCATTAGTAACTAATGCATCAAATTTGTTCTTGAGGTGTCTCTAAATTCAAGTGAGATTTTAGCTCTCTTGAATTTGTTTTCATTTTCTTCAGCTTCAGCCTGAACTTTCATATGAACAATCGATGGTTCGTTCCACAGTCTGTCCCTGGCCTTGTTTTGGCTGACGATCGGGAATATTTCTACCACCTCTTTTGACAGATGTAGTCAATTTGATTCTTGTGTATTCCACCCTGGCGAGGTCCACGTGTATGTATACTCATCTTTTATGTTGTTAAAAAAAGGTTTTTGAAATGAAGAAGGCATTAGTTTTATAAAATTCTATCATGAGATCTCCAGCATCATTTCTATCACTAAGGTCATTATTTTCCAATGACTGATCCTTCCTCTGTTTCCAACCTTCACATTCCAATCACCAGTAATTATCAATGCTTCTTGATTGCAAGTTTGATCAATTTTAGACTGAAGAATCAGGCAGAATTCTTTAATTTCATCTTCACTGGCCTAAGAGGCTGGTGCACTGGTGGAGACCGCTAAGCACTGAGATGTTGAGGGCCAGTGTCATGGACGAAAATCCTACACGATGGCCCCACTCAGGATGGCTAGCCAGGGACCCTGAGGACCCAAGGAAGTGACCTCCGGATGTCCTGGGTTCATTGGCTTTTACGAACTCACTGTTGGGCTAACTCTGTATAATTTTCTTTGGTCCTATTATTCATTCTATGCTTCGAACTCCAGTAATTGTAGCTTCTGAGAAAATGGTTTCTTAAGTGCCTCTCTTAATGTCTCCACTGTGTTGGCAGTGCTTAAATTAAGGTCCTGGGAACAAAATCTCTCTGAGGAACAAACTCTGGCCACCTGGCAAGCATGGCAAAACTGTTCTTTATCAAGTTATTCAGTTATGTTTGATATTAACTTAATACATGAGCCCTTGATACCCGTGGACAAATATTAAAACAAAAGCCCCTCCTAAAGCTGAAGCTGTAAAAAGTTCCAAAGGCAAGTTTGCTGGGAGAATCTGGAGACAGTCTGCCCAAGGAATTCACTCAAAGTAGACTGGCGAATTCCGGGGTATTGTTCAAGGAACAATAGTGACAGCCTTCTCAATTCGTCCCCAGGTGCAAACCATTAACGTAAGCGCCCTCCTTCCTCCTGCAAGCCTAGGCCAGGTAGCTGAAACAGCTAGACTCCTCCCAGACCTTTTGAATCCTTTTCACCTTAACCCATTCGAGATTAAGAGCTATAGGTATGTTAATTAGCCTGGAGAAACCTCGAGCTACTGCCTTGGGATTCAAACCTAAAAAGTAATTTATAACAATTTGCTTGAATTTCTAGAAAATTAAGGATGTTAGATTACCAAGACAATTTGTGATGTATGTTTTAGAATTTGTTCCTGTAAATCATGCTGTCCTGTTTTGAACGATTAATCACATTTCATTTCTGTACCCTGTCTTAATAATCCCCTTCTGCCTTTGTGTAAAGCCCCTCACTAAAATAAAAATGGGGCGCAGACTGAAGCCTGCATGTATTACGGTTTGCAAGGCGGTGCTTTATTGCCTGTAGGGGCCACCATGCCCGCCAGTTTTGCATCCACTCTAGTTTCTTGGTGTCTCTTTGTCTCTCTTGTTGCATCTTTGTGTGTACTCTTTTTCTGTCTCTGTCGCCGCCAGATCTCCCTACTTCGTGAACCGAACTCCCCTGTCGAGGCCGGTCCTCGACAGTTCACAAATTTGATTAATGATGGTACTAACTTCCTTATAAGTATATGGATATTATCCTATTATAGACAGTGTTATACTTCAAGAGAGCTTGAAATGTTCTTTTTGATGCTTCAGTATGTCATGCCTGGCATAGTAAACCATGTGATTGTCTGATTCAAAATGACCAATATCAGTCCATTTCAGCTCACTAATGCCTAGGATACAGATCTTTATGCATTCCATTTCATTTTTGATGACTTCCAATTTTCCTAGATTTATTAATGGGTATTTGCAACTGTATCTCCTTATTTTGAGCTGTGCGCCATCAGCAAACGATGGTCCTGCAAACTACTCCATTCACATCACCACGGTCAACACTATTTTGAGGAGGTAGCTCTTCCCCAGTGGTATTCTGAGTGTCTTCCAACCTGAGTGAGGGGCTCATCTTCAAGCACTGTAGCTGACAATATTCCGCTGCTATTCACTGGGTTTTCAGTGGCTACCCGTTCAGAATGCTAGCGTTAGAGATATAAATTATTAACCAGTCATAGAGAAATCATGTGTTTGTAAGTAAGTGCAGCGTGTGGGAAGATGAAAAAGTTAACTGGGTATTGCATTCTTTCATTTTTGATGACTATTTAAAAAGAAAGAAAGAAGGCAGTCAACGAAGCCAGCCATGTTGTGTTTTAAATCACGCAGCTGCGCCCAGATCCCTCGGTACTGAAACCAGAAACTCAAGTCGCCCTCAGGAAGCTCAGACACGGGAGAGGTAGGAGGGAGAGGGGAGGGCCGCGCCGCTGGTCCAACAGCGTGATACTCACATTGTCATCCTCTTCCTCGTCACTGTCAAAATCGCTCACAACGGGTTTGGCTTTCCCTCGATTTGGCCTCTTCTTGCCTTTGCCCTTTTCCCGGCGTTTCTCATCTTTTTTGTTCAGCTTGATTTTCACCTTCACAGATTTTGCTGTCAAAACACAAACCAGACAGACATTCACGAGGAGCCTTCGGGAAACCTTTCCAACCCCAACCAGCTGCTGCTGAAGGAATCCCCATTCAAAGAGACCCCGAGTGTCAAAAGCAGAAGAGTGACCACAGGGATTTCAGTGGCTAATTTTCTGGGAAAACAGATGGTCAGACCTTTCTTTCAGGCTCTTGTGGGTGGACTCGAACCGCCAACCTTTGCGTCAGTAACCTAGTGCATGAAACATTTGCACCAAACAGGGACTCCAGGCAGGAAGTGACAGGTGGTGTTGACAGCAATTTGGTAACCACTTGTGAGTTGTCCTGCCGGTCACTTTGGATAGTGGCCCCAGGTGACGGAGAAGAACTGTCCCGCATGGACTTTTAGGCTGTGGTCACTGGCAGGATGAGATCACCAGGGTTTCCTCTCACAGAGGCACTGGGTGGGTTGGAACTGCCAGTCTTTGGGTTACCAGCCAAGCACTTAAGCATCACACCACCAGAGCTCCTTAGAAAATGTAGCTAATGATGATTTTCAAAGGCCTCATTCAGGGGGTGTTTGCTATGAACCTGGTCCTGTGCTAAGCCCCTTACCTGCTTAGAGGTCCTCTTAATGACCCGGGAATTGTACAAGGAGCCCAGATAGTGCAATGGTCAAGTGCTTGGCGGTTCGCCTGAAGGTTGGAGGTTCGAACTCACCAGGAGCCTGATGGTCTGCTGCCACAGAGATGACAGCCTAGGGCAGTTCTGCTGGGTCACAGGGGGTCAATATAAGTCGAAATTGGCTCAATGACACCTGAAAACATCAGTAGCTATAGACGGACACAGAGCACATGAGCAGGGTGAGGTGAGGACTTGAGTCCAACTCCACCTGGGTCTATTAGCATCCATGGAGCGTGTCCACACAGGCAAGAAGGGCCGTGAATGGGGAGAAGCAGATATCTTGGCTTACCTTCCGATTCAGACTCTTCTTCATCTTCCTCCTCCTCCTCTTCATTGCTTTCGTCTTCACTCTCTTCCTCTTTGGCAATTTTCTGCCGGGCGCTCTTAAACACAGACTGCAAGACAATGGAGTCTTCGTAGATCTAAAGAGTCAGAAAAAAAGGGCATCTCTTAAACACAGCCAACCTAGGATCCAGGCTGTGCATTCCAGTGGGTGCTACTTCATAAAAATGTCTTTGTTTTGGGGAACAAACACGGCAGAACACAGACCAATTCAAATAACTAAGAGTCCTGGACCACTGACCGATAAACACCATTCTTATCAACGGAGAAAAGACTGAAGTTGTTGAAGACTTAATTCTTCTTGGATCAACTATCAACACTCATGGAAGCAGCAGTCCAGAGATCAAACGACGTATTGCATTAGGCAAATCTGCTGCACAGGAACTTTTTAAAGTGTTGAAGAGCAGGGATGTCAGCTTGAGGACTAAGGTGCGCCTGACCCAAGCCACAGTATTTTCAGTAGCCTCATATGCATGCGAAAGCTGGACAGTGAATAAGAAAGACCATAGAAGAATTGATGCTTTTGAGTTATGATGCTGTGGAGGAGAATATTGAAAGTGCCATGGGCTGCCAAAAGAACCAACAGATCTGTGTTGGAAGAAGTACAGCCAGAGTGCTCCTTGGAGGCCAGGATGGCCAAACTTTGTCTCTCATACTTCAGACATATTGTCAGGAGGGACCAGTCGCTGGAGAAGGATATCATGTTTGGTAGGGTGGAGGGTCAGAGAAAAAGAGGAATACCCCCAACGAGATGGAATGGCAAAGTGGCAACATTAGTGGGCAACAATTGTGAGGTTGGCCCAGGACCGGGCAGTGTTTCGTTCTGTTGTACATAGTGTTGCTATGAGTCGATACCCATTCGATGGTACCTAACAACAACAACGAATCCTGGTGTGGCACTATGTATATGCACTCGACTGCAAGGTTGGTTTGAACTACAAGGCCGGCAGTTCCAAAGTTCAAATCCACCAGACTCTCCTCAGAAACCCTATACAGGATCACTATGAGTCAGAATCAACTCAATGGCACTAAAACAACTTAATTTTCCAACAGAAATTTCATCTTTCTTGGTTACCACATGTCACCCAATTAAAATGTACATTTCAAGAATTACTTCACTGTGGTATAAAAACAAAACAAAACACTACACACACACACATAACAAAGCATCCGCTAATCCAGTATTTTTGCCATGCGCAGTTCAGTGAACACTGAGATACATCATCGGTCTCCGCCTTCTTTTTGGTTGGGTGTTCTCCTCTCCCAGGAACACAAAGTTACCGCTCCCTAAGGTTCCTAGTAAGGTTCCTAGTTAATCTTCCGAGTTGCTGCTGTCAATTTGATCACAGATAGATCTTAAAAGAGCATAATGCTTAATTAAGGCAGGCATTCTTTACTAATTAAGGTAAACTATTGCTTGGTTTAAAAAAAAAAAAAAAAAAAACCACTTCAGGGGATAGTTTTGGTTTAAGAATGATCTCAAGGCAACAGCACCCCAAGTTCATGTAGTTCCAGCTGACTCCAGAAAAACGGAATTCTATAAAGAGCTTATATTCTGTTCTACATTGTTCTCCCCTTTGATGAGGATCCTTCCACTGAATCTTTGATCAAAACAGCATGCTCTTCTCGTGTTCACATGAGGTTTAGTGGTGATGGCTGTGTGCTGTGGAGTCGGTTCCAACTCATAGCCACCCTGTGCAGGGTTTCCGAGGCTGTAAATCTTTACAGGAGCAGAATATCTCATCTTTCTCCCGCGGAACAGCTGGTAGTTTCGAACTGCTGACTTTGTGGTTCGCAACCCGATTCATTATCACTATGCTACCAGAGCTCCTTTGAGTTTTAGTAGAAGTCAAACTCCAGGAGCAAAATACCACGCACAGACATGGTGGTTGTTACTACTGAATTGCTTCTCATTCATAGCAACCGTATGCACAACAAAATGAAACACTGTCTGGTCCTGACGCATCCTCACAGTTGGTGGTATGCCTTAGCCCATCGCTGCTGCCATTGTATCAATCCATCTTATTGGGGGTGGGGGTGCAGAAGAGTCTTAATCTTTTTCACTGACCCTCCGCTTTACCAACAAGCATGATGTCTTTCTCCAGGGACCAGTCCCTTCCAAAAACATGCCTGTAGTATGAGAGACAAAATCTCATGATCTTGGTACTTTCAACACAGATTTTGTTTGTTATTCTGGAAGCTGATGGTCCTTTTAATATTCTTCTCCAACACCATATTTCAAATACATTACTTCTTCCAGGCCCTTCCTCATTCCTTGGCTAATTTTCCCATGCATATATGGTGACTGAAAATACCATGGCTTGGGTCAGGCTCATCTTAGTTTTCAAAGCTGGTATCTTTGTTCTCAAGGAGCTCTGGTAGCGTAGTGGTTACGAATCGGCCTGCGAACCTTAAGGTCAGCGGTTCGAAACTACCAGCTGCTCAGCGGGAGAAAGATGAGGCTTTCTACTCCCATAAAGATTTACACCCTCGGAAACCCTGTACAGGGTCGCTATGGGTCGGAACCGACTCGACGGCACTTAACAACAACAACAACAATCTTTGTTCTCAAACACCTTAAAAAGATCTTGTGCAGCAGATTTTCTTAATGTAATATGTTGTTTCATATCTTGACTTCTGCTTCCATGAGTATTGATTATGGATCCAAGCAAAACGAAGTCTTTGGCAACATTAACGTTTTCATCATAATGTAGTATGATGCTATGAATTGGTCCAGTTGTGAGAATTTTTGCTTTCTTTACATTGAGGTATAATTCATACTAAAAACTGTGGTCTTTGACCTTCATCAGTAAGTATTTTAAGTCCTCTTTGCTTTCAGCAAGCAAAGTTGTATCATCTGCATATCTCAGGTTGTTAATAAGTCTTCCTCCAATCCTGATGCCACATTTTTTTTCTTTATATAATCCAGCTTCTCAGATGATTTGCTTAGCATACAGGTTGTGAAAGGATATAATCCTGGCACACACCTTTCCTGATTGAAAACCATTCAGTATTTCCTTGTTCTATTCGAATGACTGCCTTTTGGATTATGCACAGGTTCCTCCTGAGCACAATTAAGTGTTCTGGAATACTCATTCTTAGCAGTGTTGTCCATTGCCTGTCATGATCCACACAATCAAAAGCCTTTGCGTAGTCAATTAAGCACAGGTAAACATCTTTCTGGTTTCAAACAAGATCCATCTGACGTCAGCAGTGATATCCCTCATTGCACATCCTCTTCTGAATTCAGCCTGAATTTCTGGCAGTTCTCTGCTAATGCACTGTTGCAGCCATTTAAAAACTATCTTCAGGAAAATTTCACTCGCATGTGATATTAATGATCTGTTTCATGCTCTCCATATTCCTTTTAGTTATCTTTCTTTGGAATAGGCACAAATCTGGATCTCTTCCAATCAACTGGTCGGGTACCCGTCTTCTGAATTTCTGGGCACAAATGAGTCAGCACCTGCAGGTTTGTTGAGAGATTTCAGTTTGTGTTCCGTCAATTACTGGTGACTTGTTTTTAGCCAGTGCCTTCTGTGCAGCTTGGACTTCTTCCTTCAGTACCATTGGTTCTTGGTCACGTTACCCCTTGATATAGATTGTTGTTGTTGTGTGTCATCCAGTCGGTTCCGACTCATAGAGACCCTGATTAGTGTTTCCGAGGAGCAGCTGCTAGGTTTGAACTGCTGGCCTTGTGGTTTGCAATCCAGCGCTGACCCTACAGCGCCACCCCAAGAATCCTAGTGCTTACCAGACACAGATTAACCCAGCATTTAGCATAATCGGCCCAGCAGGGTTACAGAGGCACATGCTCTTATAGGAGGATCTGGTGGCGGTGGTTATGTGCTGTGGAGTTGGTTCTGATTCACAGAGACACTGTGTAGGGTTTTGAGGCTGTAAATCCTTACATGAGCAGAAAGCCTCATTTTTCTCCCCCAGAACAGGTGGTAGTTTCGAACTGCTGACCTTGAAGTTCACAGCCCAATTTGTAACCACTACGCTACCAGAGCTCCTTATAGGAAGATATAGATACACATATTCTTATATGAGGACTCCTGGTGTGGTGCTGTAGGATCAGCACTGAACTGAAAACAACAAGGTCGGCAGTTCAAACCCACCAGCTTCCCCTAGGAAACCCTATACATGGTTGCTATGATTCAGAACCGGCTTGACAGCACTTAACAACAACAATTCTTACAGGAAAAAGAAGTGCACAGATAGTTGAAATATTTTCAAAGTGTATGTGTGTGTGTGTGTGTGTGTGTTTGGGGGCAGAGGATGGACCTCCATGACATATCCACTCAGCTTTGGTAACAAAAAAAGCATTCAATAGAAAACCAAAAACTCACAATTCTTTGAATGAGTTTATCAAATACTCCAGTAATACTAAACAGACTGCCATATCTTTGCCCCACAGAGCTGCTAGTGGGTTTGAACTGCCGACCTTTTGGTTGGCAGCGGAGCACTTTAACCACTGTACCACCAGGGCTGCTTCCCAGGAATACTCAAAATCAGACCTATTGCTGTTGAGTGGATTCCGCCCCAACAGGGCAGCGGAGAGCTGCCACGCCGTACCGTCCCCCCGCCCCGTCTGACAATCTTACAGAATTACACTGTCCCCATGGAGGGGTTGCTAGTTCGTTTCCAACAGCAGACCTTTTTGGTCCCAAGCCTCACACTTAACCATGGCGCCACCAGAACTCCTCTAAAAGGCACACGGCACAAGCAAGGTTAGAGACCCGGGAGGTGACGCAAGCCCGACCTGGGAGCCTTCCAAATTGAAGGTCTGCGCATTGTGGCAGAGAAGCATGACGTCTTTCTCGAGGTCGCCCAGGCTTCGGTACTTGTGGTTACGGATTCTCTCCTAGAGGAAAAGGGGGAAGAATATGACTACCACGCCCCCAGTGGTCTGCAGGGCACCCCACCCGGCTACAAGCCCGGGGGATGGCACACAGGAAGGAGAGGGGAGGAGCTCTCAACAGCACAGTTAAACCCCACGAAGACTTCCCAGCGCCCCTCGTGATCAACTATGGGCGGGTGCCAATGGTGTCCAGAAGAGACCCGCCCCCACAAAGGCAACTCCCAATTAGAACCTTTATTTACTTAAAAAACAAATGCATGTAAACAACATATCTACCTTTATTTTTTTGAAGTCCACAGGCTTCCTAATTAATTCATAGTATTCTGGTAACTCTTTTCTGGAAGGTAACTGAATAAAGACTTCGCTGAGCTGCCGCCCGGAACTGTAGGATGGGGGAATAAAGAAAAACAGAAGGATCCAGCGCTGCTGGGGTAAGACATTTCAGCAAATGTTGGTAAAGCACTTTACAATCCACACAAACACATAAAATACCAGTTGCTGACGAGTGGATCCCAACTCCTGGTTGGCCCCATGCATGTTAGAGTAAAGCTGCACTCCCGGGGGTATCCAAGGGTTGATTTCTTGGAAGTCAGTGGCCAGGCCTTTCCTCCAAGGTACCTTGGGCTAGACTTGAACCTCCAGTTTGATGGTGGTTATCAACTGCTTGCACCCCCCAGGGACTCTGTGTACACACCCTGGGCTCTTTACATCCGGGAAAGTTCCACCACTATGGTGGTGCCACCTTCAAAATCATATTAAAATGTCACTAGTGGTCGTGTGCCATCGAGTCCGTTGTGACTCATGGCGACCCTGCATGTAGTTTCTGAGGCTGTAAATCTTTCAGTGAGCAGAAAGCCCCATCGTTCTCTCACGGAGTGACTAATGGAGTCAAACAAAATGTCGCTGGACCCCCGCTTTTGTCACATGTAAGGGGTGCAAAGTCTACACTGTGTTTCTCTTTCAGAACAGATGTTATTATGGCCTAGGTTTGAGAGAGAGATTTAAAATGCCTTTGAAGAGGTATTCTTTTAAATTACATTCTAAAGCGAGTCAAAATTGAATTCATAAAACAAAACACAGAGGTCTGGTTTCCGCACTCCATTGTTAGAATTAGGAAATGGTTCAAAACAAAATCAGTATGCCGGAACAGACTCTACAAATGTAAATGAAATGCTTTTACCTGGATCTGGTGGCGGTAGTTATGTGCTGTGGAGTCGGTTCCCATTCATATAGACCCTGTGTAGGGTTTCTGAGGCTGTAAACCTTTACGGGAGCAGAAAGCCTCATCTTTCTCCCATGGAACAGCTGGTAGTTTCGAACTGCTGACCTTGAGGTTGGCAGCCTGACTCGTAACCACCACGCTACCAGAGCTCCTTATATGGGGATATAGACACACATACTCCTCTAGGAAAACTAGATAGTGTCTAGTGTTCCCTCCATTGCATTCTTCCCTGAGAACTTTCTACACTGTGAGCCGAGCATGCCTTGCTTACATAGGCCAGAGGTACCCTCACTACACATGAGCGCCCAGCCGATCTTCTGTGTGCATGGGGCCATGTGTGCAAAGAAACGGCACACAGATTGAGCCAGCACAGCTGCCTCCCTTTCCGGGGCTCAGTGTGGTCCCCGAGACGCACAGGGAGGGGGGCGGGGGGGGGTTTATCAGAAAGCAGGTCGGATAGCAGCGTGTCAGCCTGGGGGACTGCTAAATGCAGGCTGTCACAGCGACCAGGCGAGCTGTCCTCCCTCCCTCTCAGTCTTGGAACCGATGTGGCGAAAGGAACAAAGATATTCATAATTCACGTGTGAAGACCCTCCTGTTAGCCTTGGCCTCCCCACATCCGTGGCAGCTTGTGAAGCAGGATAGTGTCATTTCCCACAAAAACCCTGCTCTCCTGAAGATACCACACCTTCACTTCCTTTGTCAGCCCAGAAATCTCACTCTCTCTCACACACACACACACACACCCCTCTGTGCATTTAGAGGGGTGATGCTGGGCGAATGGGAGGATGAATGGGTGAGAACAGGGCCAAGCACGCGCAACACTACACAGTATCACTCCGCCGTCCCGGCTGTATAATTAAAAAATAATCATAATGAAAGGGATCCTACAAAAGGCATGCGCAGTAACTCACACGGTTGCCTAGCAACTGTGGGGGAGGGAGGGGCACCAGACCCAGTGGAAAGGGGCTGCATAAATTAGTTGAAAGCCCTCTGTGCGAGGGATGGGCGGGTTTTTCTGCTACACTGGGTCACAGTTTCGTTTTATTTTATTTTTTAATGCATACATGGGCCTCATGAATACGAAAATCGGGGAAGGGGGACGTGCAACACGAGTGGCTTACAAAGACCACAGTGGTCTGGGGAATTCGATTTTTCCACCGCCCGCTTCCCAAACCCCCTTTTCAGGTTGAGAAACGCATCCATCCTTCCGTAAATTATACCCCCTGGTACGTGACAAAAGCTATTTTGTTGGCTGTCATCTTCTCTTCAACACATGAATACAGTCTTCTGACTGTTTTTTTCTCTACCATTCTCAGATATCTGTACCGCAAATGCCTTACCCGTTTGAAAACCAAAGGCAAAACAAGGCCCATGGAGGTGTTGGTTTTCCATTCCCATCGTGGTTTCTTTATAAGCA